AGTTCCCATAGAAGAAGGCGATCCCTTCCTGTGAGGTGAGGCTCAGCTCTATTCTGGAAAAAGAAATGGGGTCGTTCGAGACGCTCACTCTGCATTGTCTCCACACCCAATCTCCGCGGGCCGCTCCACGTAGGTAAAATGTAGGTAGAACGTGCTTGGGTTGGAGCTTTTCCCAAAACTGAACGCTTCGTTGATTCTAGGGAACCGGGGCGATCCTCCGAGCGTAAACGTGGACCAGTGCTTGAGCGGACGAGCCCTTGCCATAGAGCAGCCACTGAGCGCGTTGTGCTTTGAGCTTTGAACTCACAAGGGAGGTCGTTAGGTCACTTGCAACTTTGACCAGTTGCTGAGTGGGGGTCCTTATAAAGGGGCTATTTGAATCGAAGCGAAAAATCGCCGTAAGTGAGCTTCCAACTTGGGTCATGTGCTCAAGGGTGAACGGCTTCTTGCAATGGTTTCATCAACGATAAGAGCGCTAGCATAGTCGAGCATCGGATGGCCTAGCGGATAGAGTGGAGGTTTCGCAATCGGACAGTGAGGGTGGGGTTGATGGTTCGGCTCCCCTTGCGTCGTGGCTTTTTGCATTTTTTAGATTTCGCTGTTCTCGCTTCCATTAGTGTCTGCGCATGAATATAACTCGGATATTTGCCATTTATGGGCACATTCTGAGTAGCTGTACCTCATGAGTCAGTGCTATTCAACTATTTCGATTTTCACGCACCATTGAACAAGATTGTTGCTGGACGTTGATCCTCATAGGCTATACAGTGGATCTGATTGCGAATTTAGTAACTTCTGGTGTGGTGTCAATTATAGACAATTTGGGGCCACATCTTCTTTCCACTGAATTCGTTATGTACACCAATGTAGGGAACGTTCAGCGCTATTCTGTCGCCAAATTGCGTGGACGCCAAGAATAGGTGTTATATTTGTGATCAGGGCCACTGATTACCACTAAAAACGAATTTTCAGTCAAAACAATTGTTTTGACCTTCTTGGGTTTGCTTATTGGGTTGTCCGGGGTCCGTAGCGTCAACGATACGCATCGCTGTTACGAAGATGTGAGACTCCGCTCACACTGCCGACCAAATGGTCGGCCACCTACAACCCGAAAAAGTCAAAAAAATTTTTCGCTCAAAACTTGCTCCTAGGGGTAATCGACAGTCCTGATCACGATTCTAGACTTTATTTTCGGTTCCAGTGCCATCTGGCACCGGCATAGCGCCGAAGAGCTGAGTCTGTGCATACTAACGAATTCGAACGAAAAAGCAGTTTTGCTCCATAAAAGTAGGATTGTTCAGTTTATCGTGAATGTTTTTGTTAGGACCAATTATTTAGACAAACATGG